GAATTAGTCACAACATATATGGCACGGTTCTACAGATTTTATAGCATTTTGAATAAAATTTTAAAAGAATATCAAAATTCTTTCATTAATTTAATTTGTGTTCAAGTTGACTGTTAGGCTTAATTGAAAAAAAACAAACTGTTTTCCATCCAATTAAATAAATTCTTCCTTCATAGTTTAGGTGGGTACTATGTATATTAGGAGATTATTTTACCAATTAACTAGTATGAACTGTAGTCCCTGAGTCATGAGAAGAGAAACTCACATGAAAGCATTGATACTGAATAAGGTATCAAAGCTGATTTTGTGATGCTAGGTCCCATAACCCCGTGAGAGTTCACTCCACGTGCAACTGCCTCTTCCTCCACTCTGAAACCTGTAAGACAGAGATAGCAAACATTTTCACAATACAAGAAACATGTTAAGTAAATAAATAGCATGTTCTTTAATAGGCTGACCATTACAACACCGATTACTCAATATGAATCAGCCATTCTGTCATGGACCAAACTTTTCTGTAAAGAATATTTAAGTCCAAATCATCATTTATTTAATGAATTCCTGTAATACTTTCAGCATTGTGCTGAGACCTACAGAAAATAGAAAAATGTGAGATATGGCTCTTGACATCAGAGACTTTTAACTTAACTCGTAAAGTGTTTTTTTCCTTACTTATGGATTTTCCCCAAGGAAGTAATTCAACTGAAACAAAAAGATGCATGCTTTAAGACTGTATAATAATCTATAATAAAAGAATGTTGTTAGCAATCTAAGAGTCTAATTTCAGGGAATTAATAATTATTAAGCATTAACATATAGAATATTATACACTCATTTGGATGGTAGTTATGAAAACTGTTGAAGCATGCAAAATATTTATAAATATTTGAAATAAAGGGAATAAAATAGAATGGGCTCTGTACAGTTCTGCTAACCACATACAAATGAAGAGCTAGGAAAAAAGAAGCTATGTTAGAGTAGTAAGGGGAGAAAAGCCTTTAAGCATGTAATGAATGTAATGGTTTCCTATTAAAGCAAGATTTTACCTTGTAACAGTCCTTCTCAAACACTACTTTCTTGAATCATTTTAGTAGGCCTATTACTATTATATTACATGATGGATATAAAACATTGAAAATTTTTGAGGATAAAAACCTTCTTGCTTTCTTTAAATTTTATTTTTCAATTACAGTTTGCATTCAATATTATTTTGTATTAGTTTCTGGTGTAACCACAGTGGTTAGACAATCACATACTTTACAAAATTGTCTTCCTGATATTTCAAGTACCCACCTTACCCACACATATTAATTACAATATTATTGACCATATTCTGTCTGCTGCACTTTACATCTCTGGGACACTTTTGTGACTGCCAGTTTGTAGTCCTTAATTTCTCCACCTTTTCACCCAGTCCCCCAACACCTCTCCCCTCTGGCAATTATCAGTCAGTTCTCTCTTCCTATCTTGTTTGTCTGAAAAACCTTGCTTTTTAAGTTTTTTTTTATTCTCAACTGAGAATATGTTCATTGATCTTTAAAGAGAGAGGAGGTAAAAGAGAGAGAAAGTGTAGGAGGAGAGAAACATCAATGTGAGAAAGAAACATCAATTTGTTGCCTCTCAAATGTGGCCGGGCGGGGGCGGGGGGGTGGGACTCTCAACCTAGGAATGACCCCTGACCAGGGATCAAACCTGCAACCATTTGGTGTACGGGACAATGCTCCAATCAACTGAGCCACCTGGCCAGGACCAAAACCTTCTTGCTTTTTCATGGCAGTTTTGATACCTATTGATAAGCTATCTAAGAACTTTCTAAACTAAACGACTAGTACTATTGTCAACTCAAAGGACCCATTAGAATAAAAAAGTCTTGGCTGGATCGGAACTATTTTTTTTTACATATCAAGATGTATTGAAGGTATATATTTAGTGCACCTAAACTGTATCATTATCTATTCTAGCCATACTTCAGCCCTTTCCCTAATCTAAATTGATCATAATTTATACTTGGAATTTCCTAAAGCTACCCTCTCTTCTTGACCTTCTATTTACAGAAGATATTTTATTCTGTAGAATATGTGCTTTTTTTAAATGTGAGCTGCAGATTTTGCTATAAAGACATTGCTCAGGTGGGCAGCTCCCACTAATCACAAAAGAGCAGAAATTTCTAAGTAGTCAGCAAATAGCAGACTGAATTTATCATGGTACATGGCTGATAAGAAAGGGCACTTACTGTTTATTAGGTAATATTCCAGAGAATTCATGTGAGGGTGGTGGTGCCCAGCCCTCAAAGCCAGAAACCAGGAAGCATTTTCCAACTGTGTTATAAACTGAAAGAAGACCTGTCTCACAGTGGCTGTGAACAATGAGGGGTCCCTGACCTTACTAAATCAACTGTCAATGCAGTCATATAAAGGGCAAAGGAGTAACTAGGTTACCAAAGACATGTGGAGAGAAACAGGATTATGGTACCGAAACATTCTGGGAGCAAACAGTGGATGCTGTTCAACAAAGAAACAGGCTATTTAAGTCATTTAGTATATAGAATGTCCATCCATGACATCTCTATACTAAGGACATAAAATTAGCAAATTACATTTCTACTCACCAATTATATGAAATTGAGAAAGCTCAAAAGTTATTCCAGCATTATCTCAGGAGAGAGAGAAGTGGACATCATCTGACTATGCCTGTGCATCAAGAATTGAATAGGAGTATGAAGGGAAAGTCACTGAAATCTATTCTTTTAATTTTGCTCAATTTCAACAAACTTCTCTGACAAACTATTGAAAGATATAAGAGCTACATTTTTAAAAAATAGGACATTAGGTTTTCTAAATGTGTGGTTTTATTTATGTAAGTAAGCAATGAGGGTACCCTAGACATTTTGATATTTAAACTTAGTGACATTACTACAGCAGTATTCCCTAAAATATGCCCTGTACAAACTGGTCAGATGATTTAGGAAAACCATGCAGAAGCTATTCTGAATCCTCTTATGTAGTCACACTGGACATTTGAACAGTGAACACTCTGAGAAATGCTACAGGTAAAAACCTTGTTAACTCTGTTTTCCATGAAGACATTTATTATTTTGTATTTATATAAGAATTTTTATTTACTTGCCAATGCTTATTAACATAAACACTTCTAGGAAATAAAGAAATAATAGCAATAATTATTTGCTGGTAGATACTATAATAGTTTTTCAACCTTTGGACATGACTAATCTTTGTTTAGGATCAAATTGTGAATCGTTCTGATATTTAGAATGAAACAGCCAATGGTCAAATAGCACTGCACTTTATAGTACAGGAGAAGAGAGTGTGGCTTAGCCTCTAAGATAGGAAATACAATTGCAGATTTGAGAAGCATTAAAAAAGGCACAAGTCACTGCTAAGGGTAACTAGACTCAATACATACTACAGACTAGTCACAAGATACATGCATTGAGTTTATGTAAATTCCAGTTATATGTTTATAAAGCACAAAAGTCCCTGAATTAGCCTATCATCTCTCTTTACCCTATCCCCACCTTCAACTAGACCCTAGTTTAGAAAAAAGAAAATCAATGTAGCCATCAAAGAAAAAGCAAAGAAATAAATTCTGGGCCTTTAGTAGAAACTTTGTCCTGAACAGTTTCAAGGGACACCTTTCAGTTCCTGAGAGTCACATAACACACAACTTGTATGGCCATGCACGCTGTCGTTGGCTTTTGTGCTACCAAAGGCCTAGGTCCTGGTCATTTGAGGGCAGTTTGAAAGATTTTTGAGGGTAATTTTGGTTGTTAGAGATTCTATTTCAATTTTTACCTTGTGCACTGACCTTAGAGCCTAACTCCTACTCCTATAATTTTTTTCCTTTATTTTTATGGTTGACTTTACTACAGAGGTCCCCATAACAGTACCAGGATTACACAGCAGGTATATGCTGTTCTGTGCACATTGGAGATATTCTTATTTCACATGGTTTAATCACATGTGCCCATGGATTATCAGTTTCTAGTTAAAGCTAAAATAGTTCAAATATGAATGGTAAAAACATTATAATGAAATATTCCAAATGTGAATGTTAAAAACTGGGGCTCCAGTTAAGCCTCTACAGATTCTTTATTCTTTCACTTTATAAATAATTAAAAGCAAAGTAAATGAAAGTTGGATTAACTTTAAATATTCTAATAAAACAATTCAGCGGTTTACTTCTAATAGGAAAGACTTTATTACTTAGAAAATGCTGATTTGACTTAAACACCAATCATTACAAAAAATTGTTACTGCTTTCTAGGCAATATAGACTCTAGATCTAATCATCTTAAAATTATATATATGTATGTGTTACCCTAAAAGGCTAAAAACAAGCTTATTATTATAAAAAGCACTTTCACTATCAAGTATTTTTTCAAGCCATACGTTAGATTAACATTAATTTTCATGTTATTTAGTAAGGAGAATAATAATAGTTTCCATTTTATTTCCTCTGTCTGACTTTAATTTATATAAAACTATTCTGTGCATATACTGTATATACATTTATATATACATACTACACACATATATTGGGTATATGTGTGTATATACACACATTCCTTTCTAAAATAATACCTTTACATTATTTTTATATTAAAAACCATAAAACTATTCTAACTGGAATGCCCTTTGCATCAGATCTGAGAAACAAAAATATAAATTTTGCCCTGGCTGCTGTGCCTCAGTGGATTGAATACCAGTCTGTGAATCAAGGGGTCTCTGGTTCAATTCCCAGTCAGGGCACATGCCTGGGTTGTGGGCTAGGTCCCCAGTAGGGGCGTGCAAGAGACAACCACACGTTGATGTTTCTCTCCTCTTTCTCCCTCCTTTCCCCTCTCATAAATAAATAAATAAATAAATAAATAAATAAATAGTATTGTAAAAGGAAAAAAAAAGGTGGGTATTTTTTGCTTTATCTGGCTTTAAAATGTCTCCACTGTTTTGTTTTGTTTTGTTTTGTTTTTTTCCTTGCAGAATTCCAGAATCCCCTGGTGAAGTTCCTGAATATCCTTTGTTTGTCACAGTGGGTGACTGGCTGGATTCTATAAAGATGGGGCAATATAAGAATAACTTCATGGCAGCAGGCTTTACAACTTTTGACCTGATTTCAAGAATGAGCATCGAGTAAGTGGTATTGGGATTATTACTGGATTAAGATGCTCCAACCATGAGATTATAAATTCAAATACTGTATAAAGAGCACCACATTTAAACTACCTTTCCTAAGGCTGCCATGGCGTTTCCACATCCTTCACCACATCTTCTGAATATCGTTCTAGTGGAAGTTGGACATTGCACTTTTAACTACTATTCTTTCAAAGAATATATTTAATTTAAAAAGCTATTTAAAATTTATTATGATTTCTAAAATGCATGTTACACTTGTTCATATCATAGATGTTACATAACATAGTTTTACCTTGGGAAATTATTTATTACTCACATATGCTAATTTCGTATAGTAAATTTCTATTACTTCATGAAATGTAATAATTGTAATAATACAATGTCATGTCATTTCAGAGTTTCTTCTCTATATTATCATGGACAGGCATTTTCTCACTTTCTCAAAGATTATCCTTTGCCTGGGTGCAATAAAAGTGCTCAAGATGTGCTTAAAAGATTAGGTACTAAATCTAGTAGGTTAAACCGTATGAAACTGCCATTGCTTTAAAATAATAATGGCAATTTGACATAATACAATAACATTCTTTTTCAGATTATTGAAAGATTCTGAGAACTCAGAGTCCATTATATATTCTACCCTACATATTATTTTATAACTGTTGAAAATTTATATAATTACCTAAATTATATAACCTAAGGCCTATGGAATGTCTGAATATTCCATAAATGCTTGAATTTGAAATTTTCCTTGTAACCTTAAAGTTGAGGTTAATTTGATGTATTTGTTGGTACCAGGGGGAAGAAAAAAGTAACCAACTCTTAATGTACATTTATAGCACTGCTTAAACTTTCATTTTACCAGATACATAATTTTTGGCAAATTTATAAAGTAAATCTGATATGGTGCATATTTGCCATATCTAAATGTTTATTTCCTCTCTCTCATACTTAACAGATCTAAATGTTCATATTCTCTATTCCCTCTCACCCTCCTTCCCTCCCCCTCCTCTCCTCTCCTCTCCTCTCCTCTCCTCTCCTCTCTCTTTTCCTCTCTCCCACTCTCTCTCTCTCTCAGTGACATTAGAAGAATTGGAGTCATACTCATTGGACACCAGAGACGGATAGTCAGCAGTATACAGACGTTACGTTTACACATGATGCACATACAGGAGAAAGGATTTCATGTATGAAAGTACTACAAGTTCCGGTGTCTTGTGCCTCAGCATTTCTGTAATGAAAGATATCATCTCTACTAACCGCTCATCTGATTCTCCAAACATCACTTTACAAACTGCAGTTTCCTGTTCAGACTACGGGGCACACACCTTTTGTTTATGCTTCCAACCTGGATTTTAAGATCATGCTTCATAGCTCCTCTCTGAATAACCTGCAGATAAAACCCTGGCCCACTGCAGATTATCGCTACACAATGGTAAATAACTCAGCATGGATGTGTAACTTTGTACAACAGTATTTGGGAAGTATTCAGGGACTTAACACAAAGGAATTTGCCCAGGTGTGTCTTCCTTGGTGATGTATTTAGAGTTTAATGGTAGATGAAAAAGAAATAACTGACATTTTCATACTTTGTGATCAAGTAGCTTCCAAAGTAACATATATATTTATTTGTCAGATAATTATATTTAATTCTATGGGTCTTATTGTTACCTTGTTTTATAATGGCTTAACTGCTGATGTCTGATGTTGTTAGATTTGCAGAGATGAGCAATGACTTTATGTAGTGAATTCCTGTCAGGTGTGACTGGTGAGAAGGGGGTTATCGGGGAGGGAAAGGGAGAAACGTTCTGTGCTTTCAAATCTTCTAAGGCTGGGTTTGTCAATTTTTAAAAAATAAACTTTATAGTGTCCTACATATTGCATAGTAGGTGGTAGTTTAGAGGCTTTTCCCCTCTAATTTTTTACTAACTATAGTGCATTTCTCTACTACCTTGTAAAGATCACCCCTAGAGAGACCATGAGTGAGTTCATTGCTCTAAAGTCTGCCACGGAGTGAAGTCTAGAATAAAACCATCGCTATTCCCCTGGTTCTTCTTCACAAGTTTTCAAAAGTAATCATCAAAGCACTCATAAAATTAGCTATTCTCAGTAGAATTGCTTGGAATAAAAGATCTGAAATTATAGCTTTGGATTTAATGGAAAAAGATTAATTAATTTAATTTGAATAGAATTTTATAATCATTGTATGGTGGTGACCCTAGAACATAAACACATCTAGCTGGCTGTTTGATACTAATGCATTTTGCAAACTTAAGAATTTTTGTTGTGTTCATAAAAATAAGTTACATGGACATGCTGAGCTGTTTTCCAAACCTTCCCAGAGACAGGTATACCATTGCATACTCCAAAGAGGACATAGACAGATCTAACACATGAGCATATACAAATTTTGTGTTAACCTGGGCTCATAATACAGTAACATAAAAACGTGAACACAGCTAAGGTGTGCTATGGTCATAACCTCCTCAAGGCTGTCAAAAAAAGCAAATATATTTTTTTAGTGAATTGAACTGAGTCAGCTTATCAAAATACTGCTGTATTTTGAACAAATTATAAAATCAGCTGTTCCTTATGAAGTTCAAAAAACAACTGCTGTGCTGAGTGCAAGAGGAGGGAGAAAGCATCAACGGAAAAAAACAAATGGCCAGGCTGTCTAAAAATGCCAACTTAATAAATCAGTTTTCATTTGAACTCATAGACAAAGGTGCCTACCCACATTCTCGAATCCCCACCTGAATCACATTTTTTGGTGAAAGTAGCTTTCTTGCTGTTAAAAGAAACTCATTTTGTAACCATATTTTCAGATTGTTGATTGTGCCACTAGACCATGCCTTTCCACATATTTATTGATTTATCTCCTGATTTTTGCCTACCACAACTTAATTTTTCTCATTTCAAAAAAAAATGTGTGGAGCTAAAAAAAAAAAGTCTTTAAAGTATTCCTTGAAGCACACTTAAAACAAGTGGGAAATCCATCACTTTTTAAGTGGGTCAGAAACAGCTAGTAGCATTTCCCGGCCATCACCTGCATGGTCGTGTGTCACTCATGGACTGTGGTTTGCTTGATGCATCTCCACAAATCTGAACACATTTAGAGGAAATACAAAATGTCCACATTTACCTGTCTTCAAATATATATTAAATAATAACATAAATAAGAAATGTAAAACAGATTAAATTTATTAACCATATATATTTATTTTTATAATACAATAAAAAGGTATTTAGAAAGACAAGGAATAGAATAATTATGGTCTTCCATAGGACTCTGTAAGCAACATCTGTATACTTTGATGAAATATTTAAATTTCTATGGAATGAACATTTAGCGTCTGCCATATTAAAGTTCTCTGTTATAAATTTTTTTCTTAAAAAAGTCCAATGCTATCCTATATCTGCTAATTTATACTTCTATTTTTCTTCTCTAATATCTTTGTCTAGTTTTATAAACTCTTTTTTGTCTTGGCCTTTTACCCCAAATCCTCTTTAAAATTTCCTTAAAATTACATTTACATTTTTCAGAACTGTAAGCATGATAATCCTAAGAGTGTAATTTTGAGCCTTTTTATGGTCAGAGAAAGGTTGGAATATGTGTGCAATATTAAAATGAAACATTAAAAAATAAGTATATCTATTTCTTTACTGCCTATCAATGACAGACTCTGTGATCCCAAGGGTAATAAAATATCCAGGAGTATTGGCAGTTAAATCACCAAATACATTTGAAAGTTTTACATGAAATATTTTGAGATTTACTAGTATACATATTCAGCAATTAAAACTTTAGTATGCATAAGCATAGAACTAAATTATAGGAACAAAATAAGTAACTTCCATAAATCACAAGCCTTTAGGAATAATCTTCGATAAGTAAAATATGCAGATATATTCATGTACCTCATTATTTTAAATTTTCTAATCTATACTACTGAGGGACTTTTTGAATTTTGAAAATCAGATAGTTAAAGAAACAATTTTCATCCTATTTTCTGGGTGGTTGATTTGCAGTATATAGTTATAAAGCATATCTGTAAAAAAAAATTAAAGACAATGCACAATCAAAAAGAGAGATGAGGTATGTAAATTGTCCAATTACAAAAGTGATCAGAAATTGCAAAGCTCTTAGCTTAACAAGAATCAAGAATTACAGCACTTTTGCACTGTTATCTTATACCTGTTGATAAGTTGAGTTATGCATGCCATAATCAAGATGATTTCTCTTATTTCACTCTATGCTGTTCTTCAAAATCTACTCAGCTATCACGTGAATAAAACAGACTCCCACTACAGTTTTAAGGCCTGTCTCAGACCAGGAGTAGAAAACAAATCCAAACCCAATACTTAAAAAGTAGTCTTTACAGAAAGTTTTCTGAAGAGGTAGTAAAGAATGAATTACATTCTCTATCTCTCAACCTCAATTCCTTAAAAATCCATTTTTATTTGTTTCCCTACCAAATTTTTACTCTGTAAAGCAGTCAGTTAAATCTCTTATCTCAAAATTTTCATGAATACTGGGTATCTTTTTTCTATTCCTTTATTAATTTTTCTAAACCTTCCTTTTTCAGCCTCCTGTGTTCTCCCTTTACTCTTCCATGCCATCTCTCTTTATTCCTCAGCTCCTGCCACTTCACACCTCAGCCCTATCAGCAAAATTGAGGTTGTACAGCACATCCAGTAAGATCTTATGTACCTCCATAAAAAATGCTGGGGAAGGAGGGAAGAAGGGAATGTTGCAAATGTCATACTTTAACATTTTGGGTCCTACCACATAAATGGGATCACTTGCACTCACAGAACATATGAGTTCTGGCTTTCCATTAATTGGAAATTAAATGCTTTGGAAAGTAATTTCCAAGTGGGTGATGATGATCCTTTTCTATAGTTTTAGCTAAAAAAAATTATTAATTTAAAAGAAATTAGTATTTTAAGAATCAAAACTGTTGTTATCATCTCAGAGTTGGTATACATGTCTTTATATAACAAAGAGATTAAAATTAGATGAAGCACTTCTTTTATATGATCACCACAACTTTTTCAACCTCAAATTCCAATAACTTAGAGGCTCATATTACTTTTTTTAAGTACATTTTATCAATTATGCTATTACAGTTGTCCCAATTTTTTCTCCCTTTTATTCCCCTCCATCCTGCATCCCTGCACCCTCCAGCATTCCTCCCCAAACTTAGTTCATGTCCATGAGTCATACATACAAGTTCTTTGACTTCTCCATTTCCTATACTATTCTTTTTTTTTCTTTAGAGAGGGAAGGGAGGGAGAGAGAGAGAGAGAGAGAAACATCAATGTGCAGTTGCTGGGGGTTATGGCCTGCAACCCAGGAATGTACCCTGGCTGGGAATCGAACCTGGGACACTTTGGTTCCCAGCCCGCGCTCAATCCACTGAGCTACGCCAGCCAGGCATTTCCTATACTATTCTTAATCTCCTCCTGTCTATTTTGTTCTTATCATTTATGCTTCTTATTCCCTGTATCTTTCTCCCCATTCGCCCCCTGGCCCCTCCCCTCTGATAATCCTCCATGTGATCTCCATTTCTGTGATTTTGTTCCTGTTCTAGTTGTTTGCTTAGTTTGTTTTGTTTTTGTTCTTTTTTTTTAGGTTCAGTTATTGATAGTTGTGAGTTTGTCGTTATTTTACTGTTCATAGTTTCAATCATCTTCTTTTTCTTAGATAAGTCCCTTTAACATTTCATATAATAAGGGCTTGGTGATGATGAACTCCTTTAACTTGACCTTATCTAGGAATCCTTTATCTTCCCTTCCATTCTAAATGAAAGCTTTGCTGGATAGAGTCATCTTGGATGTAGGTCCTTGCCTTTCATGACTTTCAATACTTCTTTCCAGCCCCTTCTTGCCTGCAAGATTTCTTTTGAGAAATCAGCTGATAGCCTTATGGGAACTCCTTTGTAGGTAACTCTCTCCTTTCCTCTTGCTGCTTTTAAGATTCTCTACTTCTCTTTAGTCTTAGGTAATGTAATTATGATGTGTCTTGGTGTGTTTTTTCTTGGATCCAACTTATTTGGGACTCTCTAAGCATCCTGGACTTGCATGTCTGGTTCCTTTATCACATTGGGGAAGTTTTCCTTCATTATTTGTTCAAAGAAAGTTTTCAATTTCTTGCTCTTCCTCTTCTCCTTCTGGCACCCTTGATGATTTAGATGTTAGAACATTTAAAGTTATCCCAGAGGTCCCTCAGCCTCTCCTCGTTTTTTTGAATTCTTGTTTCTTCATTCTATTCCAGTTGGATGTTTCTTTTTTTCTTTTGTTCCAAATCGTTGATTTGAGTCCCAGTTTCCTTCCCTTCACTGTTAGTTCCCTGTATATTTTCCTTTATTTCACTTTCTGTAGCCTTCATTTCTTCCTTCATTGCCACCAAACTCAATCA